ACATTTTGGACAATGTTATTCTCCTAACTTTTTGGAAAAGTTTGGAGATGGCCCCTTCCTGTTCCAACATGACTGCCTGCCAGTGCACAAAGAAAGGTCCATAAAGACATGGATGAGCGAGTTTGGGGTGAAGGAACTTGGAGTCACAAGACTGCTCTAACTGCTGATGAGAAAAGGTATTAAGCAGTTTATATTTACTAAAATAATTGCATGTCCATGTTCTGTGTGCTGTGGGAAACCGGATATAGTGAATGCAGGGTCCTGGGTTTAGTAACATTTTAAATGAGTGGGTTGTTCCTTCTGCCTAGTCAATGTCTGGACAGGTAAAGTCCCCCATTATGATGACATTGTCCTGCCTCATTGAAATTTCTAACTTTGATAGGAGATCCAACACCTCCTCATTTTTTTCAGATTAGGAGGCATGTAGCATAACCCCATTATTTTTCCCACTTGTTTATTCTCTTTGAAGTTCCACCCATAGGGACTCCACATTCTCCCTTGCCCCATTTGCAATGTTGTCTCTCTCGTTCACTAGCAAATCATTTTTGATGTAGAGGCATACCCATCCTCCCCTTCTAGCCTCCCTGGCCCTTTGACACAGGGAATACCCCTAGATAGTCATTAACCAGTGAGGTGAGCTGTCAAACCAAGTTCCTGATATTCCCATGAAGTCAAAGTCCTCCTAGTATATCAGTAGCTCCAGTTTCTCCATTGTGTTAGCTAGGCTCCTGGCATTTGAGTACATGCCTATCTAGGGGCGCATATTATTTCCTCAGTTGTTCTGTGGCTGTATTTTTGTTTAACCAACCCACTTACCCAGGGTTTAGGAATTATGGTTACAGCACCCTATGACCTTCGCTTACTGCTGGCTAATGCTTCCTCTGATCCTTCCTCCATCACTACCCAATTTAAAAGCCCCTAAAACCTTCTTTCCTGCACTAATTCCTCAGCCACTTGTTAGGTTCTCTTAGCTCCTGCTGCTTCTCTAATGTACAGACAGTATCTTTGATAATACCACCTTGGAGGTCCTTTTCTTCAATATAACCCCCTAAGTCTCTGAAATATTTTTTAGGACGTTAGACCTTCCTCCAATGTGTACCATGACAGCTGGGTCCTCCCCAGTCCCACCCAACAATCTGTCCATCCAATCAGCAATATGTCGAACCTGAGCTCCTGGTAAATGACATACTATTTGTCGATCATGGTCTTTTGTGACAGATTGCCCTATCTGTCCTTCTAATAACTGAGTCCCCTACCACCAGTATCTACCTAAGCTTGCCTGTATCCTCACCCCTCTATTTACTGGAGTAGTTGTTCCCCCGGTAGCTAGGGGAAGGCATCTGCTACAGTAATGCCACCTCTGAGTGGATATCCCCAACATTATGCAACATGGCATATTTATTGGGATGTACCAACTCAGGACTAGCCTCTCCCGCCTTCTAACTGTCACCCAGCTACCAACCTCTGGCTCCTGCACCTCCATATCCCCTTTCCCCTCTATTTTGGCCCCCACCAGCACCTGCTGGGTAATTTACAAGCTCCTTTCCAGGTTGTTGATGCTTCTCAGTGTTGCCACCGGATTCTCTAGATCCATGATCTGGGCTTCCAGAGGAACAACTAGCTCAAATCTCGTAAAGCAGTATCTACCCTCGAACAGCTCTTCAATGAACATATACATGGAGCACGATGTGTACTGGGTCGCGTCACCAATCCTGTTGGACATTTTACCCGCTACCTAATGGGGATAATCCCAGAAAAATGTGGATTTTTTTTCCTTCCCCCCCCTTCTGATATATATATCTTGTTGTTAACTCCCAGTACTCCTAATAACTCTAAAAAGTAATACCGGTACCCAGTTACTCCAAATTACTCCCAGTATGCCAAGTTACTCCAAATTACTCTCGGTACTCAGAGTTACTTCAAAATCACTCCCAGTACTATCCCAGATAAGAGATGGAGTGATGGATATGTCTACAGGCCATGTGCACTATGTCCAATGTATGGCAAATTGGTAAGAGACACATTTCCGAATATACCTCAAATTACTGCTCTATCGATGCTCCCAGGCTCTTCCAAACAAATCAAGAGAAACTTGATTAGACACTTTCTAACAACAGCATGGTCTGCAATTACTAGACATTGGTGAAAAACGGAACCTCTTTGGATGGCTGAGTGGACAAAATTGACCATAAGGAACACGTGATTGCTTGAGAAAACGATAAAATGGAGTCATATAGGCTCATGTAGATGGTATGGTTCTATTGCCGGTATTCAGTTGACTTCAACTCCTTTGTGTCCTGAGAGCTGGCTGGCATGGCTTACAGAGACACTCTTAACTCCCATAAGAGCGAATAGCTGTACGCCCCCCCCCCCCCCCCCTCCTTCTCCCCTGTCCTTTTTTTTACCCTCCTCGATTTTTTTATTTTTTCTTTCCCCCCTTCTCAGTCTCCTTCCCTATTTACAGTAAATGAGCATGGCTATGTTTACCAGTTTGGATTCATTGTCTATATTGGCCGTCATGGACAGCTATTGATTCCTAGGGCATCATATATAGTATTTTACTTTCTTCATTTGGTAATAGGTATGGATGCTCCTCTGGCATCCTTCAACTGCTGGAATCTGTAAACTAATGCTTTGTTTATCTCTTTGTTACTTGCAATCATTTTGGTTTCTGGTATTTGGTCGTATCTGTGAGCTTTATACTATCCTTGACACCTGTGTATTCGTAATAATATTGCTCTATGCTTGCAATGTTTTAATACCTCTTTACTGTACGCCTTTAAAAACGCTAATTTAAAAAAAAAAAAAAAAAAGATTAAACATGAAATAAAAGCCAGAAGATACTCGGTAAAGGCAGCAGCTGCAGTAAAAAAAAACAAGGCCATCTGATAGTCTTTATTAACACCGTTCAGACACACAATAGAGAGATACAAAGCAACACCGATTCATTCATCTGAAGATCAATAAGATAAGCTTCAAGCTACAGATGACGATGGTTAAACCTGAACAGTTTTTTTTTAATAAAATGTATCTCTAGGTAACATCCAATAAACCCTTACTTTACCCAAATTTATCTGAATTAACTCCTTCCCAGGGGTGGACTGACAACTCATGGGGCCCCCGGGCAATAGGGGATCATGGGGCCCCTGTGTCCTTGCCCAAACTCAAAAAAGCCTATGAAAAAGTTACCAGGGGAATCTCATGGGGCCCCCTACTGACCCCGGGCCCTCGAGCAGTGCCCGAGTTTCCAAATGGTCAGTCCGCCCCTGCTTCTTCCCCATCTCCAACTATAATAACTTTTTTGTTTTTGCTTTTATTATAAAACTTTTTATTTTGTATTTGTTAAATTTTTTTTTAATGCTTTGCTTTGTACTAGAATATCAGTGTAATTGTAAACAGTAAAAAATATGGAATAAAATGTATACAATTTATCTACAGTAAAACCATTTTAAAAATAACATTGGTCAAAAAAGGGAAAAAAAGTGTTATGTTTTTGTCTAAGAATATTAAAAATAATCATTTTTGCAAGACAATATCATGTAAAGAAAGTCCTTAAAAAACAATATATGTATTACCGTATTTTTCGCTCCATAAGACGCACCTGACCATAAGACAAGCCTAGGTTTTAGAGGCGAAAAACAAGAAAAAAAAATATTCTGAACCAATGGACTGCGGACATAGTACAGGAGATGACCGGAGACTGCGGACACAGTACAGGAGATGACCGGAGACTGCGGACACAGTACAGGAGATGACCGGAGACTGCGGACACAGTACAGGAGATGACCGGAGACTGCGGACACAGTACAGGAGATGACCGGAGACTGCGGACACAGTACAGGAGATGACCGGAGACTGCGGACACAGTACAGGGGATGACCGGAGACTGCGGACACAGTACAGGGGATGACCGGAGACTGCGGACACAGTACAGGGGATGACCGGAGACTGCGGACACAGTACAGGGGATGCCCGGAGACTGCGGACACAGTACAGGGGATGCCCGGAGACTGCGGACACAGTACAGGGGATGCCCGGAGACTGCGGACACAGTACAGGGGATGCCCGGAGACTGCGGACACAGTACAGGGGATGCCCGGAGACTGCGGACACAGTACAGGGGATGCCCGGAGACTGCGGACACAGTACAGGGGATGCCCGGAGACTGCGGACACAGTACAGGGGATGCCCGGAGACTGCGGACACAGTACAGGGGATGCCCGGAGACTGCGGACACAGTACAGGGGATGCCCGGAGACTGCGGACACAGTACAGGGGATGCCCGGAGACTGCGGACACAGTACAGGGGATGCCCGGAGACTGCGGACACAGTACAGGGGATGCCCGGAGACTGCGGACACAGTACAGGGGATGCCCGGAGACTGCGGACACAGTACAGGGGATGCCCGGAGACTGCGGACACAGTACAGGGGATGCCCGGAGACTGCGGACACAGTACAGGGGATGCCCGGAGACTGCGGACACAGTACAGGGGATGCCCGGAGACTGCGGACACAGTACAGGGGATGCCCGGAGACTGCGGACACAGTACAGGGGATGCCCGGAGACTGCGGACACAGTACAGGGGATGCCCGGAGACTGCGGACACAGTACAGGGGATGCCCGGAGACTGCGGACACAGTACAGGGGATGCCCGGAGACTGCGGACACAGTACAGGGGATGCCCGGAGACTGCGGACACAGTACAGGGGATGACCGGAGACTGCGGACACAGTACAGGGGATGACCGGAGACTGCGGACACAGTACAGGGGATGACCGGAGACTGCGGACACAGTACAGGGGATGACCGGAGACTGCGGACACAGTACAGGGGATGACCGGAGACTGCGGACACAGTACAGGGGATGACCGGAGACTGCGGACACAGTACAGGGGATGACCGGAGACTGCGGACACAGTACAGGGGATGACCGGAGACTGCGGACACAGTACAGGGGATGACCGGAGACTGCGGACACAGTACAGGGGATGACCGGAGACTGCGGACACAGTACAGGGGATGACCGGAGACTGCGGACACAGTACAGGGGATGACCGGAGACTGCGGACACAGTACAGGGGATGACCGGAGACTGCGGACACAGTACAGGGAAAATACCAGAGACTGCAGACAGTGCAGGGAATGCCCAGAGACTGCAGACAGTGCAGGGAATGCCCAGAGACTGCAGACAGTGCAGGGAATGCCCAGAGACTGCAGACAGTGCAGGGAATGCCCAGAGACTGCAGACAGTGCAGGGAATGCCCAGAGACTGCAGACAGTGCAGGGAATGCCCAGAGACTGCAGACAGTGCAGGGAATGCCCAGAGACTGCAGACAGTGCAGGGAATGCCCAGAGACTGCAGACAGTGCAGGGAATGCCCAGAGACTGCAGACAGTGCAGGGAATGACTAGAGACTGCAGACAGTGCAGGGAATGCCCAGAGACAGGGAATGCACTGCAGACAGTGCAGGGAATGCCCAGAGACTGCAGACAGTGCAGGGAATGCCCAGAGACTGCAGACAGTGCAGGGAATGCCCAGAGACTGCAGACAGTGCAGGGAATGCCCAGAGACTGCAGACAGTGCAGACAGTGGGAATGCCCAGAGACTGCAGACAGTGCAGGGAATGCCCAGAGACTGCAGACAGTGCAGGGAATGCCCAGAGACTGCAGACAGTGCAGGGAATGCCCAGAGACTGCAGACAGTGCAGGGAATGCCCAGAGACTGCAGACAGTGCAGGGAATGCCCAGAGACTGCTGACCTTTGGGGAGGGAGGGGGAGCGGGTACCTGAATTTGACAGCTACCCGCTCCCACTTTCGCGGAGTTGTCCTTCACTCTTCTTCCCGCGCCGGCTTCTGTGACAGCCGGGTGTCCACTGCGCATGCGCGAGAAGCGCTGCACTTTGTGAATGGCCCGGCACCTTCTGGGACCTGTCATGTGTCCCAGAAGACACCGGATCATTCACAAAGCGAAGCGCATGCGCAGTGGGCACCCGGCTGTCACAGAAGCCAGCGAGGGAAGACTGTACAGCGCTGGAGCGAGGAACAGGTGAGGTCCTGCAAGAGAGAACAGCTGAGCAGCCGGCCCCGTATTCTGACATGGTGGCGGCAGAAATACCGGACCGGCCGCTTTAAATTCGCTCCATAAGACGCACTGACATTTTCCCCCCTTTTTTGGGGGGAAAAAAGTGCGTCTCATGGAGCGAAAAAATACGGTACTTTGTTGTCTCAACAACAGGTTCAAAGTAGTCCATAGTAGGGTATACAAGCTAAAGTGGTTAAAACTTGCCATCATTCACCTCTGTTGCTATAGACATTGTGGAGAAATCCATCTCCAAAGTTCAGAGCAGAGGCAAAGAAATCTTAGCTATTTTCTATACTTTCTACTGCATTTCATGTATGGAGTTTAGGTCTACTAACAAAATAGAAGTATACGACAATTTGCTTGATTAAATTTCCCATTCCATTTTTGCTCATACACTTCCAAATAAATTTGGGACACTGTAAAATCAAACAAAAAATGCAATGATTTTCTAGGATCATAAACCCATATTTTATTCATAAAAAATAGAAAACATATCAAATGCATAAATTTAGAAAATGTACAATTTTAAGAAGAAAAAAAAAGAAAGGTAATTTTGAAATTGGTGGCAGCAACATGTCTCAAAAAAGGGACAAGGCAACAAAATTCTGGTAAAGTAAATGGTACTAACAAGGAAGAGCTGGCAGAACATTTTTCAACTACTTAGGTAAATTGGCAACAGGTCAGTAACATGATTTGTTATAAAAAGGGCATCTTAGACAGTCAGATTGTTTCAGAAGTAAAGATGGGCAAAAATTTACCAACCTGTTAAAAGCTGCAGCTAAAAATTGTCAATTTCAGAATAATGTTCCTCAGCATAAAACTGTAAAGACTTTAAATATATCATCTACAGTGCATATTAACAAAAGATTCTGAGAATGTAGAGAAATCGCTGCACCGAAAAGCAATATTGGATGCCCGTGATCTTCAGACCCTCAGACGGCACTGCACTAAAAATCGCAATTATTCTATGATGGATATTGCTGCATGGGCTCCGGAATACTTCCAAAATCACTGTCTGTGAACACAGTTCACCATGCCATCCAAAAATGCAAGGTAAAGTGCTATCATGCTAAGAAGAAGCCATATCTAAACATGATCCAGAAATGCTGTTGTCTTCTCTGGGCAAAAGCTCATTTAACCCCTTGGCGCCAACGTAACACAAATATGTGGCCTCACAGAACTGTTTTTTTTTCCGTGGGGCCACATATTTGCGTACCTGTCTTTGTGCTGGGAGCGCGCACCCAGCACAAAGACCACGGTGTCACTGAGTCTCGGGTCCCATTCTAACGATCAGGACCCGGGACTCCTGATTCCAGGTCACATGATTGCTGTGATAGCCTATGATTGGCTATCACAGTGATCAGTCGCTATGAAGCCCGCCCCCCTTGTTTTTTTTTCTCTCTAGATGGAGGAGAGAGATACATTGTATCTCTCTCTCTCCCCTTCCATAGAGGAAAAAAAAAATGTTTGTTAAAAAAAAGATAAATATATACATAAAGAAAATAGCAAAAAATAAAGAAAAAAATATCTAGATCAAGGTTTGATCTAGTTCAGTGCCAGGGTTAGTGTTTGGGTCAAGGTCAGGGTCAAAAGGTCAGGATTTTTTTTTTTTTTTAAATTGGTATCAGTGTGAGTTAGTGTCAGTGTGTTTTAGGTAAAATAGAAAAAAATGCACACTATTGTTTCTGGACTGTACTACAGGTACAAACAACAAATAACATATACATATATGGTACTGCTACAATAGTCAGGAACTGGAAAACTTATTTTGGGTTGTTCTTTGGTGGTAGGTTATGGTAGTAACAGGAAACACACAGCTAAATTTAAAAAAAATTGTGTTTTTTTACTATTTTGGGCTAGTTTAACTTTGATAATACAAAAAAAAAAAAAAAAAATCAGGGGATATTCATTACCATTTACCACCAAATGAAAGCCCAATTTATCCTGAAAAAAACAAGGTATAATTCACCTGGATGTACAAAGTAGTTGTGACAATATGTACGGTTTTACTAACACATGTCAACGTTGTAAAAGTTTACTTAGGCTTTAAGATTTGTTTTACCCTTAGGCGTGAAGGGGTTAAAATGGTTAGTTGCAAAGTGAAAAACTGTTCTGTAGTCAGACAAATAAAAATCTGAAATTCTTTTTTGGCAACCATGTGAGCTGCGTCCTCTGGATAAACAGGATAGGAACTTTCCGGCTTGTTATCAGGGCTCAGGTCAAAAGCCTGCATCTCTGATGGTATGAAAGTACATTAGTGCATATGGAATAGGCAAGCTTGCACATCTGGAAAGGCACCATCAATGCTGAAAGATATATCCAGGTTTTAGAGCAGCATCCAGCAGCATTCCCATTCAGACTTTTTCAGGGAAGGCCTTACAGAATGCTAAACTGCATACTACATCTAGAACAACAGCATGGCTTTGTTATAAGAGTCTGGGTGTGTAACTGGCCTGAATGCAGTCCAGACCTTTCACCAGTTGAAAATATTTGGCACATCTGGAAACAAAAAATGCGGCAAAGATGACCCAGGACCGGTGAGCAGTTGAAATCCTATATGATACCACAAAGCTCCTAATTCACTCCCTGGTCATCTCTCGCCTTGACTACTGCAACTCCCTCCTCATTGGCTTACCTTTACATAGGCTATCCCCCCTTCAGTCCATCATGAATACTGCTGCCAGGCTCATCCACCTTACCAACCGTTCAGTGTCTGCTACCCCTCTCTGCCAATCCCTCCACTGGCTTCCACTCGCCCAACGAATAAAATTCAAAATACTAACAATTTGCAAAGCTATCCACAACTCTGACCCCAGCTACATCACCAATCTGGTCTCAAAATATCAACCAAACCGCTCTCTTCGATCCTCCCAAGACATTCTGCTCTCTAGTTCCTGTGCCACCTCCTCCCATGCTCGCCTTCAGGACTTCTCCCATCCTATGGAACTCCCTACCCCAATCTGTCCAGCTGTATCCTAATCTACCCACCTTTAGACAATCCCTGAAAACCTCTTTAAAGAAGGCTATCCTACTTCTACCTAGTAAACCGCCATTTATTTCCTCCATCGGCTCATTCCCCCCCCCCCACACAGCTATTACCTTTTGTATCACTCAGCCCCTCCTCCTAGATTGTAACGCCTCCTAGATTGAAAGCTCCGAGGAGCAGGGCCCTCCTATCCCTCTTGAATTGAAAAAAAAAATATATATATATATATATTACATACATATACATACATAAATATATTTTATATATACTAACACACACACACACATACATACATATATATATATATATATATATATATACATACACACACACACATATACACACACACATTTCCAAGTGAGTTCACGCTAGTCAGGAACTATATGTCGGGGCTTGGTAGCCCACTTATATTGGGTGGAGCCCCAAGGTATTCCTAAACCTCCGTTATAAGGACTGTGTGCACCTGGGCACACACCCTACTGTTCCTCCACAAAACCCAAACACTGGGTTGGAGATTCTGTCCCGCCCAAGGCACCATGGAATCTCCAAACTATGGAGCTCCATCCAGGACTACCGAAACCTGAAGAAAGCTGCAAAAAACAGTTTTCTTCATGCAGAACATATGCTCCCTAGTCCTGCACTCAGCAAAAGTGCAAATCCTGTGTCATTTTGCTGACCACTTACACAGTGACAGAACCTCGTACTGTCACAAAAATAAATAAATGTTTTTATATATATATATATATATATATATATATATATATATAAAGAATGAAAGAATGGTTTTATAATTCTAGTTCTGAAAAGGGTCTGTTATATAATAAGATATCAATAGGGCCTCCTACTCGGTCTCTATAAAAGTAACTGCATACATAGGATCATTACATCAGTATTGCATTATATGTACTGTATAAAGGCTGTGCCTAATTGCTGTAGGCGTTTGTAATTATCTGTACAGACAATATTTCATGGGAACCGCTTCTGTGTATTCCTCTGCGCTGTTTTATTATCATATCAATAGTAAAGTGAGTCTTCAGGGAAAAACATTAGGAAAGTAACATTTCATTACATTCTGAATGCACATCTACATTTTATGAAGTGAACCGTAAAAAAAAAAGTTGTTTAAGGAAACATGTAATTTGAAATTGGGTCTTATAGATAATGTTACCATTACAGCCAAACTCCAGGCAAACAGCTAAATATACAGTTGATATATTTTATGCGTATGCTATCTTTCCTACCTACCAAAGTATTTATAATTCCATTTACTTGTGATTTAGACACCCCCAAATAAAAACATAGCTAGGTTGGTGACCTCACGTTTCTCCACTGCAGTTAAAAGAGAAAGTTAAAAAAAAAAAAAGCCGAACAATCATACTCATCTATATGGCTGCTGTATTGACCAATGCTGCATCTGTCCTTGCCAAAGGACAAGAACTGAGAAATCACATGATCGCTGATCACTCAGTGCTTGCTTTTCACTGAGCAGAGTGTTGA